CCTACCAAGAGTGCCCAGCTGCATGCTAGAACCAGGCGGGATGTCTTGGACAGCCGCAGCCACAGCCTTCCAAGAAGCTCCTAAGCTGGCTGCAGAGCCAGAGGGGAAGCTGGGGTTCAGAACCTCTTGCCATCTCCCCCTCTTCTGGGTCTTCCAGGCAGTGGGATCTGACCCGCCCCCCTCAGACCATAAGAGTTGTGGAGAAGCAGGAATAATAAAACCTGGCTTTAGAGAGGAGAGAGTAGATCTGATAAACAGAAAAACGATTTTCAAAACCTGGGAAGGAAGGTGTTTCTTCTTTGCTTTCCTTTCTGAAACGATGCAAATTATCAGAGAACTCTTATCACCTACCAACATAAAACCCTAGAAACAAACCTCCTTTAGCTCTCTCTCAAGGATATTCAGCAACATTTACCCACCCCTCCCTGAGGGAAAGGGTCCAAGCTACGCAGGGGTTAACTTTTCTGAAAACACAATTAACTTTTTCCTATCCTGCGTGGGGTGAGGGGAGGGATATATTTACTTAATCACTGGGGGATGGGGTGGTCTCCATCCAAATGCTCCCTCCTCCCTGAAAGGCACAGCGCCTCTTTCGCAGATTCTACGTAGGTGGAACAGGACGCGTTGTGTTGTTGGGGAGAGAGAGAGAAAGGAGGAGAAGGAGGAAAAAAAAGGTTGATAGGTTTGTGCGCGGGTCCCTCGTGCGGGCTGCGCTCCTCCAGGGTGCTATTTGACAATTCCTGCCTCTGCCATTGGTCAGTGTTGGATCAGATGGTTGTATTTCCTTCTGGCCCTCACTGGCACCTCGCCATCCCCCCTCAGCTAAAACCCAATCTCGGATATACTACTAATAGGCGCGGCGCTCAGACTATAAAACACAACAAATCATAAACCCGGCGGAGCAGCAGCGGCCGCGCGCGCCTCCCCTCCCAATGAGTTCCTATTTCGTGAACTCCACCTTCCCCGTCACTCTGGCCAGCGGGCAGGAGTCCTTCCTGGGCCAGCTACCGCTCTACTCATCCGGCTATGCGGACCCGTTGAGGCACTACCCAGCGCCCTATGGGCCGGGGCCCGGCCAGGACAAGGGCTTTGCCACTTCCTCCTATTACCCGCCGGCCGGTGGTGGCTATGGCCGAGCGGCGCCTTGCGACTACGGGCCGGCGCCGGCCTTCTACCGCGAGAAGGAGTCGGCCTGCGCGCTCTCGGGCGCCGACGAGCCTCCCGCGTTCCACCCCGAGCCGCGGAAGTCGGACTGCGCGCAGGACAAGAGCGTGTTCGGCGAGACCGAGGAGCAGAAGTGCTCCACTCCAGTCTACCCATGGATGCAGCGGATGAATTCATGCAACAGTGAGTGAGGCTTCTCTCCGCCGCCGGTCCCTGGGTCCCCCACCCCGGGAGACAACTAGCGAGACCCCCCCATTCTCCCACAGGGTGCTGGGTGGTCTTCTCAGTTAGTAGATAGGGGAAGATTGGGCGCCTGCTCAGAGTCTCCCGCTCTGTCCTCGGGTCCACAGGAGTTACAAAGTTTGCAAAGTCCTCCTGCACTGGGAGCCAGGGGAAGTGAGTGGGCTCTCCCAGAGCGCCAGGCCAGAGCCGGGATTCCAGGTCAGGGAAGGAAGCAGGGGTCGCAGCCACTGGTTTTGCTTTCCTTTGGGCCCCAGCCCCCTCTCCCTGCCCTGGTCCAGTCCGCTACCCAAAGAGGGCTCCATTAAAAACCAAGAGCGTCATGCAAGGGGGGGGGCGGTGTGACGCTGGCGAGGGAGAGCTGGTCTGCCTGGGACTGTGCTTCCCTAGGGGTGGGGAGCTGGGGAGTGAAGAGGTACCAAGAAAGGAGTGGTAGTCAGAGGAGAGAGGAAGACTAGGGGATTAAAAAAAAGAGGAAGGAGACGGAGGGGGGAGAGGGAGAAACAGGCGCCTGGGTCTCAGGTTGGATTATCTGTCGGCCTTAAATCCCAATTGATGTCCATTAGCAGGACACCAAAGTAAGGAGCCGTTAATGTGGACTATGGATCGATTCATGTCCTTACGGATTAAGGGGCTGAATCTATCATTGGGTGGGCGGGGGCCTAGATGGATGGAAAGGGAGAGAAAGAAAAGATGTAGCTAGGAAGAGACACACCTGGCCAGCTCCTCCCCCTGGGCTCAGGTGGGAGTTCAAACTGCTCCTCCCCTCCCCCACAGAGAGTCTAGACTGAAGGCACTTGCCTATGAGACCAGGAGGGAATCTGGAGGGGGCGCTGGAGGAGTGGGGAAGGGGGTACACGGAACAGAGTGTGGAGGGTATCCCGGGACAGCCTGGAGTCCATGTTTGAGGGTCGAGTGGGGGAGGGGGACTGTGGGCACTGTGACCCCAGGCCTCAGCATCTCCGCTCTGCGTAACAGGTTCCTCCTTTGGGCCCAGCGGCCGACGAGGCCGCCAGACCTACACGCGCTACCAGACGCTGGAGCTGGAGAAAGAGTTTCACTACAATCGCTACCTGACGCGGCGGCGGCGTATCGAGATCGCGCACGCCCTGTGCCTGACCGAGCGACAGATCAAGATCTGGTTCCAGAACCGGCGCATGAAGTGGAAAAAGGAGAGCAAACTGCTCAGCGCCTCTCAGCTCAGTGCGGAGGAGGAGGAAGAAAAACCAGCTGAGTGAAGGTGCTGGAAAGGGAGGGGGAGGCGAAGGGAGAGGCCTGTGGGGAGCCGAGGAGGGCTTCGGAGAGCCCCGAGAAGGCTCTGCGGGCAGAGGAGCCCAGGGACCTGCTCTCCAGTGCACGACAGGCGGGGCCCAGCGCTCTCCTGGCCGCCTCTGCCCGCAGAGCTCTTGGCAGGTGCTTGGAGGCCCAGCCGCCGAGCCCACCCAGCACCCCGCGTGCCCCCTCCTTCCTCCCCGAGGAACCCGCCTCCGCCCGATCAGGCTCCTCGTGAGAACTGAGGATAGGACTCGCTTGATGTTTCCTGGAAGCAGAGCAAAATGCTCTTGTCCGTGTCTCGTCTCATTTCGTCCATGTCCCTGTGCACGGTTCAATGGTAGATTCGTTGTGCCCTCAGCGGGGGGCCTCGAAAACTCCCTGACCCCAGACCTGTCATCTCTCCCACGCCCTCCCCAAAGCCACTGGAAGGAGCACATACTACCTAGAAGAAGAGGAGCCTCAGAAGAAAACAAAGTTCTATTTTATTAATTTTCTATGTGTTGTGTTTGTAGTCTTGTCTTAGCTCTGGACGTGAAATACTTCGGTAATAATATTAATATTATTAATAATGATGATAATAATAATAATAAAGACGTGAAAACTCGCCGCTCAGTCACCTCCAATCTTCCCCTGCCATTTTTTTCTCTCTCCCCGTTCCCCAACCTCCATCCTCCCAGGGCCTGAACTCCCCAGCAAAGGCGGGAGCCCTGGTCGGCCTGGGGCCTCCCCAGCGGGGTCCACTGGATTCGAGAGTTACGGTTGGGATAAAGGCTGGAGAGATCAGTCGCTCCCAGGCCCCAACGCTGCACCTGGACAGTGCAGAGGCTCACAACCGCCTCTCCCTGTACAGATTGGGGGACGGAGAGGGGCCATTTTTCTCTTATTCTCCAGCCTTTCCCCGTTTGTCCACAGCACTAGGGACGCGCCACTGATGTCCCTTATCCCGAAGCCCCTGCAGAGATTGAGCGTGGCGAGCCTCAGCGCCTCTGCAGCGCTTTCCTATCCTCGTGGTTGCTGAGGCGCCTGGCCTCAGGCCCGCCACACGGTCAGGTCTCCTCCATCCCTGGCCCTCGGCTTCTGGCCTGTGGCTCCGGGGACTGAAAAATGGGGCCACTGGCTATCTCTCTGCCATGCAGCTGAAGGGGCCAGGTGCCCTTTCCTACCTCAAGGAGAAGCTCAGTGACAAGTAGGGGAATGTAAAGCCGCCAGCAGGCACTGGCAGAAGGACATGACTTTCCCTTGCTCCTTGGAGATCCGAGGGAGGGAGGCCAGGTGATGGGGCATTTGGGTCTCATCCTCTTAACCCAAAATGGCCCAGTCTCTTTCTACCCCCACCCGCACCCAGGCGGCAAGCTGCTGACACTGTTTTCCTTTCTTCTTCCTCCCTCTCTCTCCCCTTTTTTATTTTTAAAGAAAATAGCTGCCTGGCAGAAGGGGCCCAGCTGCTGCGGCCTCTGGCCGCCCAGCGCGCAGCAAGGCTCCGCGGTCTTCGGAACCCCTTCCCCGGGAAGGCGGTGGGCCGCCGGGCAAATTCTCAAACTGCCCAGCCACCAGCGAGGGGCCTCAAGTGGGGCCTCCGAATGCTATAGCCGGCATCTGACACGGAGGCCGAGGGGTCCCGCTTTAACCCCGAACTCTCAGCCGTTACCACCCAAACCCAAGCCGCCGACGCAGCGACCGCTGCAGTCTTTCCGGCAAAGTAGGCCGCTTAGCTACAGCGGTGCTCGTCCTCTGGGGTCCCTGCACCGTTTTGCCATTCCCCGGGCTTGGGCTAAGGACAAGAAGGAGGTCAGGAAGAGCATTCCAAACTTCCAAGGGGCCCAGGAGAAGTGAAAGCTTCTCCTGCTTCCTCAAGCCTCCGGCTCAGCCCTGCTCGCTCGGCCTGGGCGCTGTGGCTCGGCCTCCGCAGTCTCGTCAGGAAGCAGGCCGGGCTGAGCTGGGGAAGACCCATTGCAATAATTGTTTTTCACACACAACTTCCAACCCTTCCCCCCATTTCCGCCCCAACCGGGAGACTTGCAAAGCCGGAGTAAGAGAAAAGCAACTCAATCTTTAATCACCTCATCCAGAGTTAAAATAATAATGATGATGATAGGGAGAAGGACACAAAACGAGAGACTAACCCCACCACAAGGAAGTGGGCAAAAAGCTCAATCCCCTCCTCTAAAGGGCTCAACCCTGCGAGTGAGCCACGGCCAGGGTTTCTTTCTCTCCCGGCGGCTGCGGCGAGTCCGCGGGGAGGCTGACGCCGCCGCCATGGCGGTCTTCGGCCCGCGCTCCCGCCGGTCGCCGGGAGGTGGCGCGCTCTGCTCAGAGGCCAACGCCAACCTTCTCCCTGTTTCTCCCCCTTCTCCCTTTTCCCCCTCTCTCGGAGCCTCGCATTGAATCGGCCCTAACGATTCTCGGATCGTCATTATTTGTAACCATAGAGCATGAATTACCTCTTGAGGTCATCAGCGAGAATTTACGACTGGTCAACAAAAGCACGTGATTCCCTAACGCCCCCCCATCCCCCTTCCACCCCCCCCATATTTGGCCGCATACATAGCAAAACGAAGTACAGTGCATCGCTATAATTCATTAATACATCATAAATCGTGAAGCACAGGGTTATAACGACCACGATCCACAAATCAAGCCCTCCAAAATCACCCAAATGAGCTCGTACTTTGTAAACTCCTTCTCGGGGCGTTATCCAAATGGCCCGGACTATCAGTTGCTAAATTATGGCAGTGGCAGCTCTCTGAGCGGCTCTTACAGGGATCCCGCTGCCATGCACACCGGCTCTTACGGCTACAATTACAATGGGATGGACCTCAGCGTCAACCGCTCCTCGGCCTCCTCCAGCCACTTTGGGGCGGTGGGCGAGAGCTCGCGCGCCTTCCCCACGCCCGCCCAGGAGCCCCGCTTCAGGCAAGCGGCGTCGAGCTGCTCCCTGTCCTCGCCCGAGTCCCTGCCTTGCACCAACGGCGACAGCCACGGCGCCAAGCCCTCTGCTTCGTCCCCCTCCGACCAGGCGACCCCGGCCAGCTCCAGCGCCAATTTCACCGAAATAGACGAGGCCAGCGCGTCCTCGGAGCCTGAGGAAGCGGGGAGCCAGCTAAGCAGCCCGAACCTAGCTCGGGCGCAGCCAGAACCCATGGCCACCTCCACAGCCGCGCCTGAGGGGCAGACTCCGCAGATATTCCCCTGGATGAGGAAGCTTCACATCAGCCATGGTAATTCTGTCTCTCTTTTTTGTCTTCCCAGCCTTCCTTCTCTGCATTTGGGGGGGGCGCGAGGAGAGCTTGGCTTTTCCTCAAATATAGATTTATTTTTCCAAGGGGGAGAAGTCTCTAAGAGGGTCCTCAGGGCTTTGTGGACAGAGCCAAACAGGGTGTCTAACTGGGAGGGGGTATTTTTAATAATTTGTTTCCAGCTTCTCTTAGGTTTTATTCGCTTAGCTGCACCAGCTTTAGAATGAAGGATGGGCTTTATGTAATGTGGGGAAAGGCCCTTCTTACCCCCGAAATTTTGAGATTGCTTCTAGCAAAGAAGGGGAGAGCAGTAAAATGAGCTTTCCAGGGCAAAAGTGCAAGCTCTCTCCTCCCTCCCGGGGCGAGCGACCGCCTGAGCCCAGCCCAGGGTGAGGCTCTGGCAGGGAGCAAGAGACAAAGCCGGGCGCATTCGCTGCCTGCAGAAGTGGGGGCTGCAGGAGAAGGGGGTGCAGAAATCCAGCCTGGATGTCGGCATCTGGAGTAGGGAGGATTGGAGCTGTGGTGAGCTGGGTGCTGGGGACGCCTGGGTCCTGCTCCCCCGCCCCTTCCTACTCAGTGCCCCCTCCCTTAACCGGAATAACGTTGCCTTGTGGCTCTACTCTATCTGCTCCAGATATGACCGGGCCAGACGGGAAAAGGGCTCGGACCGCATATACCCGCTATCAAACCCTGGAGCTGGAGAAAGAGTTTCACTTCAACCGCTACCTGACCCGGCGGCGGCGCATCGAGATCGCCCACGCACTCTGCCTGTCCGAGCGCCAGATCAAGATCTGGTTCCAGAACCGGCGCATGAAGTGGAAGAAGGACAACAAACTGAAAAGTATGAGCCTGGCTACAGCCGGCAGCGCCTTCCAGCCCTGAGCCTGCCCAGAGGAGCCCCGGGCGGCCCAAGAGCCCACGACACTCCAGCCCCAGCCCCTCTAGTCCTCCCCGCGCTGCGGCCGCCCGCTGGGGACCCGTTCCCACAGCCTGCCTCGCCCTGGCCTTGTGTTACGATTTTTCGTTTGGTCTTAGGTCTTCCTGTGGCTCCCTTTCTCCTGGACTGGTTATCTTGTTATTATTGTTAATAATAATAATTATTATTATTTTCCCTCCATGCTCCCCACTCCTTTCCGATGGCCCCAAATCCGCCAGTGTTTCTGAATGTTCGTGTCTGTGGTTGCAGTCCTTTCCCCAGGGGGAAAAAAAAAAAAGAAATTCGCATGTTTAATGTGAACTTTCCCCTTCCCATCTGTGTTCTAACTTATTTATAAAAGGATGATCACTGTATTTTGAGTTTCAGCTGGAAACTTCTCTAAGGGGCGGCAGTTGAGGTGGGGTAGCCCGCAGCACAGGGCCCAGCTGAGCTGGACTGGGAAATGGAGTCCATGACTGTGTCTCTTTTCACCCTCCTCCTCCTCCTCCTCCTCCACTTTCCAGGCCCAGGTCTCCCAGGGGCTTGGTCCTGGGGTGGGAAGGGGCTAGAGAGGACCAAAGGAGTGATGCTGAGAAGAGGGAAGGAAAACAGTGAGATTTAAGTTCCTGTTGCCTGAGTAGGCTCCACAAGGCCTGGTCTGGGAGTATAAGGAAACAAAAATAATCTTCAGTGTAAAATGTCTTGTGTATTTCTCTGTGAATCCATGGGTTTGGCTAGAGGGCCCAAAGCTTGTAAATATGGGAATAGTCTGGGTCAAACCCATCTTTTTCTCCCTACCCATTTCACTTCCAAGACCATTTGTAGTGAGCGAGTGGATGCTGTGCTACGTGTGAAATCTATCTTTGCCGGGCCTGTCTCAGTAATTCGCTTTTGGTATTTGTTTGTAGCTTTCCTTGAAGTCAAATAAATGTTTCCCCCACTCCACTACCCTTCCACTTGTCTTTTCTAGATGGGGGGGGGTCTACCTCTCCAATCACCAGGCACACCCTAGACGGTTCTGGACCATTCTCTATAGATCTGGGGTATAGGGAAAATAATGTAGGATGCTTCCCAGCAGCCACTCTCAGCTACCTAAGTCCCTGGCTTGATCAGTGGTGCTTGGGCCAGGGAATAGGCCTTCATGCCTGGGGGACTGAGAGGCCCAGAAACCCCATGCGGGGCTGGGGCATGGGAAAGGCTGAGCTGGACTCCATTCTGGCCTCCCATCAACTGGCCAGCAAAGCCTCTGGAAAACTCTTTAGGGAAAGTAATTTGGGCCTAAGTCCTGTGAAGGAGGTTCCTGGCCTTTTGGAAGTGGTAGAGGCCCGCCCAGCTCCCTTTTCCCTGCTACAAATTCCAATTCAGTTCTGCCACTAAGGCAAAAAGAAAAAAAAAATCAGCTCAATTTCAAAGGTTTTCTCTGACCTCTAGCTTTCTCTACACTTTTCTAGAGCTCCTTCTTTCTAGGTGCCCAGCTGACCTTCCTTCTTGATTAGGAGTTGAGGTCCCTCCTGAAAGACCCCTGTTTTCCCCTCCAGCCAGACCGGCCCAGGGCCAGGGCCCAGTCCACCTCCATCCAAGTTAGCCTCCACCCTGAGCACAAGAGTCAAGTCTGGACACTTACCCGGTCAATCCCTTCCAGCTTGGCCCAACTTCTTACTGGATATGGGGGGAGGGGGAGCTGGTGAGGAGGCAGCCCAGGGTCCTGGAGGCTCTACTGGGCCCTGCTTCCCCTTCACCCCTTGACTTTGTCCCCCTTTGTCGATAGCAAACTATCCCAAAAGTCGCTATGACATTTAGATGTCAAATGGATAGGGGTTTTATCTTGAAGTTAGATCGTAAAAATCACCGAGAAGTCAGACAGATACCCCTCACTGGCTCGAGAAAGTCACGTGAGGTCCATAAAGTTAGTTTTATGGTTTTGGGGAGTTGACACCGCGCGGTATATTTCACATTCTCCAGAATGTTAAGTGACACTTTAACTGCTCGCAGTGGTGGGGAAGGGGGCAGAGGTAGGTGAGCGCTCTCCCAGCCTAGAGCAGCCAGACCAGCCCAGAAGGCGGCGGCCAGGCCAGCACTCCCGCAGTAAGTCGCTTCCAGCTTTCGCTTTCTCCCCTTGTAATTCCGGGGCTTGGGACTGGAGGAAGGAAATTTTGCTTCCAGCAGGGCTGTGAGGTGCTGTAGGGGAAATTTAGCCTGTTTTTGGCATCTAGTTCTGAAAAACTGGGTGCCCAAAGTGGGGCATTTATTTCAATAAGGCCTCAGTGGTCGGGTGCCAGGTTTTTATTTGCAGGAGTGTCTGACTCTGTGGGGAAAAGGGGTTGCGTGAGCTCCGTGTTCTTTCACTGCCCTTGGAAATTTAGGGGGCAAGAATGAGGGGTGTGTATTGCTGAAAGAAGGGACCATTGTGGGGGGCTACTTCACTGCTGGATATCTTCAGATAGAAATCCTTCCACCCTGGGGAGGGGTGGGATGAAACTTTATGACATTCATTTGTCAGGGGTGTGTGGGGGTGCGCTGCTGGGCACTTTTATCTGAATACATCTGAGCTGAGAAAAAGCACCAGGGGAAGTGGCTGCTGTGGGCTGCCTTGCCCTGGGGTACTCGCTGGCTTTCAGGTCTCATAAAAAAGGGTCTCTCCAGTTCTCCATGGCTTCATCAGGGCTGTCCAGGATGGGGAGCACAGCGCTTTTGCACCCACCTCAAGCCTTTTGGTCCCAAACTAACCTGTCTGCTTGGCTCTAAGTAGGCTCTCTAAGGAGATCAGAGTAGGGAGCACACAGAGGGGACAATCCCCTCCATTCCAAAATCTAATTCCTGGCCAGGAGTAGAGGAAAGGGAGAGCTTCTTCCCTTGCCTAGAGGAGTTAGGTGTTTGAATAGATCTGTGACAAGCCCTGCTCAAGAACACAGACCCCCAACTGTCCGAAGGCAAAAAAGTGATTCAGGAGCCCAGAGAGAAAATTGCAAAGGTGCTCTTTTCTCTCTCCTCTTCTTTCCTCTTCTCTCCTGGGCACACCCTCAAAGGCCCCTTTGTTTTGTGGCATCATAAGCCAGAGGGATTTCAGGATTTGACCCTAGATGGCCTGTTATTTTCTAAGGAAAATTCACCCTTCTTCTAAAAGCCAGAGGCTTCTTCTCCACCAAATTAAACATCCCCTCCCTATTTTAAGACCCATGGGGCTAACCACCACGTCACTACTGTCTTCCTCAGCCCACCATCTCTTGAGCTCACCAACTCCCTGTGGATAGTACCTGGGACTGGATATATGGCACCTTGAGGGGCTTCGGATCTTTGGGACAAGGAGGGGTCATAAGGCTCTCTGGTTCTCATTAAGGGACATTGGAACTCTCCCCCTCTTCTCTTTCTCCTGAAGCCACTTTATTCCCTGAGCTCTTCAGTCTCTGCCCAAGCCTAACTTACAGGAGACCCTTCACAGGCTTTGAGAGCAGAGTCATGTCGGTTTGAAGACACAGCATCCCAAGAATGATGGGGCATTTGTGTCCCCTGGAATGTAGACTCTAGTCACCTCCAAAAGGATCCCCAGCACCATTTAAAATACGAATAAATTTTTGAGGCATAGCTTGCACAGGCTTCCACTTTCTACAAGGCAAAGGGGTTGAGAGAGGTGCGGAGGAAGAGTGAAGCAGGGGGAGATCTGACTGGGGCCTCCTGGGGCACCCCATTCCTACTGTGGCCCTGGCCTCACTCTAATGTGCTTCCCTCTCTGGAAGCCTTCCCAGGATCCCAAAGCCCTAAACAATCAGGCCTGCCCCTGAAGATTTTTTGTTTTGTTCTGTTTTCTTTTCTTTTCTTTTTGCTCCCCTCTCATGTCCCTTCTGCCCACTGATAGAGAGTGTAAGGGGCCAATGGCCCGGGAACATCTGCTGGGCATAAGTGGACATATTTTCTGGAATGGCAAAGAGCAGCCCTGGGCAGGAGTGCCCACTTCCACCTCAGAGACCAAACCCTTGGAGGGTTTCCTCTCTCACTCTAAGCGGATCCTAGAGAAGACACCCTGGCTGGACTTTCCTCTTCCCTGCTTCAGCTCTCTTGGCAACCTTCTTCCCAAAACCCAACCAGGACAAGCTGAGGGAAGAGATGAGATGTGTGAAGGGGTTTCTGTTGTAAAGAACTCTGATCTCTGCCCCAGACCTGTACCCTCCCCTCCCGCCTTCACCTTCCCCAAGTCATCTCTCTCCCCGAAAGCTGCCCCACTCTATCTCCCACCCGCTTCCTCTCCCCTGCTGGTCCAGCCCTCAACCTTCTGAGCTACAAGCCAACAGCCTCTGACCAAATCCTCAACTTGGGACAGGCCCCAGGAGGTGGCAGCTGGGGATTAAGGCTGCAATTTTCCTTTTTCTTCTGAGGCCAGTCTGGCCACTACTCAGTGGACAATTTGATTTTGATTTTTTTGTTTTCTTTTATTTGATTATTTGTTTTGTTTTGTTTCTCTGAGGCCAAGGGGTGGGAGGAAGTATAAAGAAGTGTAAACAGGAAAGCCAGCCGGCCTAGAGTTCCAAGTGCCCATATTTCATTGGCTTCCTTTCCACAACTGCGGCAGGGACATTTAACCCTTCCCTGACTGTGAGAAGCCATTCGCTGACAGTGGGGCAGAATATGGAGATCCATGAAGAAGCTCTTTTCCCTGCCCGGTTCCTTTATCCCTGGGATCTGGATAATGGGGAGGATGCCAAAGATTCAGAGCAAAGAAGATGACAGACTGCTCAACACAATCTCCAAGCTCAGTCCATTCCCAGGACTGCGCTTTCCTGCATGGGCAGCTTGGGGATGAACCTGGCCAACCTTGGTGGATATGGCTAGCAAGAACCCAATCCCATCTTTTAGGGGAGGGGCTACTGGTAATCCTCCCCATTTTTGGAGTTTCTCAGAGTAATCGGATTTTGAGGCTGGGATCTGCCCACAGCAGGATTTATCGATTGCTGCAGCGCTGTTACACATCCATATTAATTAACCCAGACAGGCCTGGAAACCAAGCTGTTTGAGAAGGGGGAGGAGAGGGAAGAAATGGGGGCCCTTTAAGGAGAATGGACATTTCTCCCTAAGTGCCCCTGAGGCCCAGATTGGAGAGTCCTTCCCCACCAGAAACCTGTGGCCCTCCCCAAGCTTGAAGTCTCTGGAGTTCACAGCAAGGGTAAGAGTGACTTAGTCTCCACATTTGGACTCTACACACGTCTCCTAGGGGGTGGAATTAAACACCTCCCAGGCTGGTTCCTGCAGGCCCCCCACCCAACTCCTCCTTGCCTTTAGTTGCTTTCCCAGCCCTCCAATGCTGTGTTTCCTGCGGCTGTTATCATTGCGACCTTTCTAGAGGGGTTAACGCCCCCTCCTCACCGTCCTTTCAACTTTCCAAAGGTAGAAACTTTTGATGGTTTTCGGGTTTGTTTTGTTTTGTTTTAGTGTCCCGTTTGTTGCTGGTGGTAGTGATGATGTTATGGTCTTCCCGTTTCTCCTACCCTTCCCTCCAAAAAGTGATTAAAATCTGTTAAAGGATTTAATTAAGAGAGTTAAATGAAAAGGAAGGAGACGCAAATGAGTTGGGGGAAAAAACCCACACCAAAGCTATTCTCAACGATTAAATCGCCATTTTAACAATATAATGGAGTTTGCATCCTGAAAGGGGAAATCAACGCTCATATCTCATCAATAATTCATAGAGTCTGGGATCACACAGAGGTCAGCAGACGGGGGCCGCAGCGCCGGCCTACGTGGGGCTGCGAGCGAGCCGGGGCCGCATACATTACAGGCCGCTGCCGGCCACACTGCCGCTGCCACCTCCGCCGCTTCAGGCCGGGGGCGGGGGCATGCCGACAGGTTTAGCGGATCTTTCCTTCTTTCTTGGTGAATTCATTGAGACCGTGATTGTAGGCTCTAAGAGGATGAGGGGAATTTGGGGGCCTGGAGAGGATTGGACTTCAGGCAAT